AGTTAGCATTAGGTCTCCACATTGCACTTTCTTATATTTTAATCTCCATTACCATCTCTTACAGACTTTAAAGGGTTAGGGATACATTTTTGTTCTACTATTTGCTAATATTTTCACTTCGTTGTCTATTACATATCTCAAACTTCACATATCCAAAACTGAAATTCTGACCTCCTCCCACCAAAAGCAAGCAAAACCTTTCTCTAGCCATAGCCTCCCTCTTTTCAGTGAATGGAAATTCAACATTTAGTATTTCAAGTCCAAAACCTTGCAGTCATCTTTGACTCCTATTTTATTCTCATACCACACATATGTCAATATTAGAAACATTCAAACTTGTGAAGAATGTTTGTGAGTTTATTTGAACCAAATTTCCAGGAAGCAGAATCCTATATAATAAAGAGGTGATATGCAAATTAATCTTCACGCCCTCACAAGATGGCTGCCTACAACCAGGCTGACAGGGGGGTTAGTGAGGGACAACCAAACAACTGAACAAGCAGGCTATGTGGGGCGACCAGGCTGGCAGGGGGGGCAGTAAGAGGTGACCAGACAGGCAGGCAGGTGAGCAATTAGGAGCCAGCAGTCCAGGATTGTAAGAGGGATGTCCCTGAGATCGGGCCTAAACTGGCAGTTGGACATCCCCCAAGGGGTCCCAGATTGAAGAGGATGCAGGCTGGGCTGAGGGTACCACCCCACCATGCACGAATTTTATGCACTAGGCCTCTAGTATCAACATATTGGTATAATGCATCGGAGAATGGCAGTTGTTCACCTTATTTTATACATTACAAGCAAAGGAGGAGATATAAGTGGGTCACATGATTGGTGATAGATTAGGGAGGGGAGAGAATGCAAAGCAGGGGGTTGGAGACCTCTGGGAGGGATTGGGATAAAAAAATTAAATGGTAAACACATACTTTTTTACTTAGGTGAGTGCAGGATAGTTAACAGTCAACAACTAAGTTGGTAACAATGACAGGGTATGTGTGGTCTCTGCTCTGGTTCTGTGCCTGTGCTTTGAAGGGTCCAAAAGAAGGGAAATCACTTTGTTTTTGCAAAGGTATGCTTATCAGGTATGTTATCCTAGATGCAACAAGACAACAGACAGGCTCAGTTAAGATAAAGATTGACCTTTGTTAGGGAAAAATACTGCCTTAAAACATGACTACCTACCATGAACTGCCTTTAGTTAAAAGCATTTCATTTCAGCCTAAACCGGTTGGGCTCAGTGGATAGAGCGTCGGCCTTCGGACTGAAAGGTCTCAGGTTCAATTCTGGTCAAGGGCATGAACCTGGGTTGCGGGCACATCCCCAGTAGGAGATGTGCAGGAGGCAGCTGATCGATGTTTCTCTCTCATTGATGTTTCTAACTCTCTATCTCTCTCCCTTCCTCTCTGTAAAAGATCAATAAAATATATTTTTTTTTAAAAAAAGCTTTCCATTTCAGACCATCCTATGTGGTTACTTTAGGTCTATGAGTTTATAAGACCACCACACAGGTCTCACCTGACTTACCAGGTTTAGTATGTGGCTCCCTTTTTTTTTACACATGCAATCTATTTGCTCTACTTTTGAAATATATCCAGAATTTAATCACTTCCTCCCTATCCACTGGTATCACTATGGCCTGAGCCACCATCTTCTCTGGCCTATATATGACCTTCAATATCCCTCTGTTGTTCCTCACATAGCATCCAGAAATATTATTTTAAAGTATAAGTCAGACCATGCCCTACCTTTGTTAAAAACTTGGCAATGCCCCTCCTCTCACCCAGAGTAAAAGCCAAAGTCAAAGTCTTTTCAATGCCCAATGCATTACTTTGCTAGGGCTATAGTAACAAAGTACCACACAAACTGGATGGTTCAAACACAGAAATTTATTGTCTTCATTCTAGAGGCTAGAAATTAAGGATCA